ATTTTCGCTAACCTGTGCATCCCAGAAAGACACAAACTGGTGAGTGCGCCCACATCCAGGCCAGTAGTCCTCAAACTTGAGTGTGTTGGAGGGCTTGTTAAAACACAGATGTCTGGGCCTCACTCCCAATGCTTCTGCCTCAGGGGGGCTTGGGTAGGGCCTAGAATTCTGCATTTCTAACAAGCTCCCAGGCAATTCCAATGCTACTATTCCACAAACCATGATTTGAACAGCAGGCCCTTATACTGCAGACCAACTAAATTAGACTCTCCATTTTAATAAGATCCCCAGGTAATTCTTGCACACCTTAACACTTGAGACTCACTGCTCTAAAGCAGTCCTTAACCCAGACTGCACGTTCGAATCACTGAGAGAGCTTTGAAAACATGCCCAGAAGTCCCCACCCCATCAATTAAATCAGAAGCTCTGGGGTGGGGGCGGGGGGGGGGGGCAGGCATGGTGTTATTTTAAATCTTCCCTGATGACTCTAATATACAGCCTGGACTCAGAACCAGCACTCTAAACTCTTTGAGCTGAAGAGTTTACAGCCAAAGACTGGTTCAGAGGACAGTGCTTTCCATTTGTGTGAGATTTTACATTTTCCAGAATCCTCCCACAACATCACCTTGCGTGGCTTTCACAACAGCTCTATAAAATAGAAAGGGCATAAATAGTTATACCAATTTTAGAGATCAAGAAATTGAGGCTCAGAGAGATTGACTTGCTCAACATCCCATGGATAGTCACAGAGCTGTTGGCTCTTACCTCTTACTCTGGTTTCCCTTACCTGTTCAGGTCTTAGAAAATCCGTATACACAAATCTCAGTGAGAAACAGGTCAGCCTCTTTCCAGAGTGGGGCAGAGCAGCCTTTGGTCAAGGCTTCCCAAGTGTCTGTGATCAGCTTAATTGTAAAGAAGTTTTGTCTTTCAATTTGGGGAAATTGAGGTACAGTGGTGGTGAAGAATGGCAGCAAGAGTGCAATAAGGAAAGATGCAGGGTCCCTGACTCCCACCCAGCCCCTTCTTCCTAACGTTCAAGGGATGTGGTTTGATAGGAAGGTGAGGAGTAGCAGTTGCTATGGTAACCGCATTCTTATCAATTCCTATCCACACGAGATTTGCTTGTGTGGAGGCCGGTCACCCCACGCCCTGATAAGAGGGTCATAGATAAAGCAATTCATTTGTCTAGTGCTAAAGTTCTCCCTGGAAGGATGTCGGCCAGCCCATCCTCCACTACAGATGGACAGTACCTGCTGCCTCGGTGATGGACGGAGGTGGCTCTGAGGGGGACCAAGTAGCGAAGGCCTTTCCCCCCAGGAATGGGGGATGCCCCTTTTGGGCCCCACAGCCCCTGCCTCCCTGTCCCACCTCTGCTCCTCTCCCTCCACCTTCAGCTGGTAGATCCTGGCAATTCTTGTTTGGCTACCTCGCCCCACTGGACCATTAAATGCTCCCAGGGAACAAGCCCACGTCTAGAACTGTCTACAGCTCCCTGAGCACCGGGCACAAAGCTGAATTGTTGTTTACTTCAGACAATATATGTTTGTTGAATTGAAGCACCTTTTGTCCCTTTGCTGGGGGCACAGAGAGGAAGCAAGGATGGGATTTCCAGAAGGTGAGAGGGGCTTGCCAGCCTCTGGGAGCATCCTGCTGCCCATGCTGTGCAAGGCGGACCCAGGGAGGGGACTGCTTTCTACCATGGCACTATCCTGGCTCCTCTCCCTATGTCCGATTTTACGCCTCCCTTTGTCCTCCCTGCCCAGTAGCGGGGGCTTCTCAGGGAGGCTTCCCCGCCCACCCAGCAATCCCGGCAGGTCCACCTCTGTTCTGTTACCTCATCATTCCTTCTCTTTGCTGTCTGTCTGCCCCCGCCTCATCCCCACCCATTTAGAACATGAGCCCCATCATGGCAGACCTTGTCTACCTCACATTTCCACCCCTGGTGCCTAGCATATGGCAGGCACAAAGTGGATGCTCAATAATTGTTGAATGAATGAATGAATGAATGAATGAATGAATGAATGAAACTGAAATCAGGAATTAGGATACTCTAGTTCTGGTCCTGCTTTGCTGTGTGTTCCTGAACAGATTGCTTACCTTCTCTGTGCCTCAAGTTTCTTTGTCACAAGAAGAGGATTCTGTTCTGCCCTGTTGTGATCCTGTGTGTCTGAAAGCGTTGTGACAGCTTGGAAGACCGAACTAGATCTTGTACATCACCATGTCCCCCCATGGTAACCTACACAGGGCCTTACACATAGTAAGGCTTCAAATGATCTGCTGAAGCAAAGAAAGAAGCAAATGTGCTTTGAACAATTAAAAGTGTTGTATCTGTGAGGAATTACTGACATTCACAAGTGTCCATGCTGTCTTGCTGAGCAAGGTGCAGGCTGATTGTCCGGTTCTTAAGGTTGTTAAATTACGTTAAAACTTTTCTAGAACAAGAATAAATGCAGATACACGTATTCTTTGTAAATTTCAGAGAAACCTCACAAGTCTGCACCTTTCTGCTTTTTTTATTAAAACAATTTTTTTTAATGTTTTATTTATTTCTGAGAGAGAGAGAGAAAGGCAGCATGGGCAGGGGAGGGTCAGAGAGAGAGGGAGACACAGAATCTGAAGCAGGCTCCAGGCTCTCAGCTGTCAGCACAGAGCCCAATGTGGGGCTCAAACCCACAAACCGTGAGATCATGACCTGAACCGAAGTCGGACGCTTAACCAACTGAGCCACCCAGGCGCCCTGCACCTTTCTGCTTTTCTTCTTCCCATTCAGATTGCTCAATGGGACATGGCTCAGTGCTGATCTCAACTTCTTTGGCCTCCCTCTGCATCCCAAACTTTACTAGCCGAAAGGAAGCAGCCCAAGGCCAAGGTGTTCCCCAGCCTGGGCAGCCGGCAGAAACACCAGCCATGCTGGTAACGACCACTGACATCTTGGAGGCTCATTGTGGGCCACCACGTTCTGTGTGTTATTATCCCATGAGTCTTCACCCTCATTATTCCCATTTTATAGGTGAGGAAACTGAGATTCGGAGAGGCAACATCCCCGAGTGAAGCAGTGAGTGATAGAGGCGGGAGGAGAACGGGGTGTGGGTGCCTCCACAGGAAGTGCGGGTAAGCCCCCACCTCCACCCCTCCTCAGCAGGTGCAGGAGCTAGCAGAGACCTGACACCAGTTCGAGGCTCCCACCATGTAGAGCCGGCAGCGGTGGTGGTGAAGGGCGCTGTTCAGAGCTGGGTGGCAGCTGCTCCTTCAAACCCCTCCTCCTGCACCTGGGGCTGACCCCCCACGTCCGTGTCAGCCTCCTCCTAACACACTCACGAAACAGACTCACACTCCCTCCTTCACGCATCCATCCCACCCCCACCTCGAGGCCCACCTCCGGGACCTCTGTCTCTTTGAACCCCAACATGTGCTCACAGTGCCGGCTCTGAGCCCACCCACTCCAACCCAGCCCTGGGCTTCTGGAACCTGTGCCTGGGCCCAGAACTGACCTCAGCTTTCTGCCACAGAAATGGGAGAATAGCCAGACCATTTGCAAGGAGTACCAAGGAAGAGAAAAATTGCTTGTTCCTTCAACTCAGGGTTCTCATCAACTAGGCTGCCTTCTTGCCTAGAAAGCAAGCAAACCTTCCCTTGCTCCCCCTCTCCAGCTGGCCTCACAGGCCATGAGACACACGCTCACGAGCTTCCAACTCTCCCAAGAACGATGGCCACTCTATGGTGTGGGAAAGAAGGGAATACAGTCTGCAGTCACAGACCTCATGGCCTCTGCTCCTTGCCTTGCCCTGGTCGTCTCCCCTGCACGTAATCCCTGTGCCTGACTCTCTCAGGTGCCCCCTGATCAAAGGACAGATGCCCTGCCTTTTTCTTCCCACTTTTCCTCTCTGTGTTAGTTTCCTGAAGCTGCTCTAACAAAGTACCACAAACTGGGTGGCTTAAAACAACAGAAATTTTTTTCTCTTACATTTCCAGAGGCTGGGAGTCCAAAATTAAGGTGTTGGCAGGATCGCTTCCTTCCGGAGGCTCTAAGGGACAGTCCCTCTGTGTCTGTCTCCTAGCTCCTGGTGGTCGCCAGCAATCCATGGCATTCCTTAGCCTGGAGATACATCACTCCAGTCTTTGTCTCTGTCTTTACGTAGTCTTCTTCCCTGTGTGTCTCTGTGTCTTCACGTGGCCTCCTTATAAGGACACCAGTCACTGGATTAGGGCCTACCCTAATCTAGTATGACCTCATCTTAACTAGACATGGATTTGTGGGGAAAGGGCGGACACTTTTGTTGAGGGGGGGAGGGTGCAAGTGAATAAGGAGTGGAGAGAGAGAGAGAGAATCCCACAAAGGGCAGAGAGAGACAGAGACAGAGGGAGAGAAAGAAGCAGGGCTCACCCAAAGCAGGACTTGTGTTTCACCCAAAGCGGGGCTCCAGCTCACCCGGAAGCAGGACTTGAATTCACAAACCACGAGATCATGCATGACCTGAGCTGAACTCAGATGCTTAACCAATTGAGCCACCCAGGCGCCCATTGTGGGAACACTCTTCAGTACCCCCTCCTACTCCAGAGACCCAAATTCTGCCTCAGACCTTACTCACCCTTGTGACCGGGGGCCTACCCCCTGCTGACAAAGCCAGAGGCTGATGACCCATTGTCCCCTGTTGGATTCTAGCTCCTGCTGCTTGCCCAGCCAGTTACGGACAGTCCCAGCTCTGCTCCCTTCTACCGGCATGGCCCAGATGCTGGTCCCTCCCGGTGTTCTCTCACTACTGAACGTATGCCCCCAAAGACACTCGGCTATTAATCTTGCAGCTGTACGAGTTGCAAACACCCTGAGAGCAGGCACCACGTCCCTAACACTGCACAGTCCAAGGCTAACCCAGACACCTGCTTGTCGACCAGGGAGAAGTTCTCCATGAAGCCCCTGACTTCCCCATCACCCCCACCCTCATCAGCCTCACTATTTAGCTCTGAGGTCAATTGCTCTTTGTCCTTTGCTTTCTTCACAGGAAATGGGTACATTGAAGGTAAAGAGCTAGAAAACTTTTTCCAAGAGCTGGAGAAGGCAAGAAAAGGCTCTGGAATGGTAAGACCAGTACTCTGCCCCATTGTTTGATTTTTCTATCGTCCTGTCCATGGCTTTCAGCATTGTCTGTCCCAAGTTATGCATAAGCCAGCCTGACATCTGCTCTTGACCTTCCAAATGTTTCTTTTATTTGTAAGAATTTTTTTTTTAACTGGAATCATCCCTTAAAAAGAGAAACTTGCTTCAATATCTTTGGGTGTCTGGGATTGAGGGGTGTTCATGAATGGATGCCAGGGGTTAATGAACCCCCCTCAAAAACAAAGCAAAGCTTTGTATATGTGTATATAAAAACTTTTTCCCCCCAAGGAATAATCCAGAGCCTAAGATTCTCAGAGGGGTCGTGACTCAAGATTGGATGCCTCAGGGGTTTCAAGTGCCTTTATTCTAGACCAGAGTTTCTCAGCCTCAGTACTAGTGACAAGGCTAGGTAATTCTTTGTCTTGGGGATGGTGGGGCTGGCCTGTGCATTGTAGGAGATTTAGAAGTATTACCGACTTTCCCTATGAGATGCCAGTAGCATCGCCTCCAAGCTGTGACAATCAAAAATGTCTTCAGACATCCCAAATGCAGAATAATCCCCACTAAAGAACCACTGTTCTAGACCAACAGAGTCTGGAATCCTCAGCAAGAACCTTGAAGAGGATTGCTTCAAACCAGTATCTGAACCAGATAGTACTGACCAGCCTCGTTCATGGAGGTGTCAGACTGCCTTTCTCAGCCTGCCTGAAGCGACTCCAAATCACGTCCCCACCCCTTAATGGCAGGGTCATTATTTCCCATAGTACCAGGCTGGCACTATTAAATTCACTAAGGCCTTTGGAGGACCATCTGAAATACTGAAAAGCTAAGGTAATTGGAGCTGTTCTGCTGTGATTCCCATGTCTGGTTCTCAAATATACATAATCAGATCCATTCCCTACCTCCAGCTCCCGCTAGTCCTTTGAGGGTCTCTACTTTCCCCTGCTGCGTGTCTGTTGGCCAATCCTCTGCTTATTAGCAAGTCTTCATGGTGCAGTTTGGGAGATGAGTCACAAACCCAGTGAAGAGCTCCTGGTCCAGAACTCAGCAGAGCGCCCAGTCAGGAGGAGGTCCAGGCGCTGGGCTTAGGCGATGGAGGTGATTCATGGGTTTGTTTATCAACTGTTCCCCCATCACCCCGTCATTACTAGGATAATGAAGCCTGATCACAGAAAACACAGGCTTCAAAACAGATTCTTGGATCATGGAGTAGGCAGAGGAATGTGTTTTTATGAAGTGCTTCTAGTCTGAAATCTTAGTCATTCCCTTCCTCAGAAGCCATCAGGGGTGATTCTCAAGTCTGTCAACAACAGTCTCAACTGACACCATCCAGGACTGGCATTCAGAGCAGCTGTTCTGTGGTAGAAGTAAGATTGGCTTTAGAAGCAGGAGTCACAAGTTCCAATTCTAGCTATACCAGCTGATGACCTCGGGTCACTTCACCTTAGCCTCCATTTGTGTGTGAAATGCACAGGCCTCCCACCTCACCGAGGCTGTTGTTAAAACTAAATTGGATGACCACATCTACACTAAGGGCCTAGGATCATTCCGTGCACACTTGTAAAGCAAAACATATTGCTGAATAAATAGTGGTAAATTGAAACCAGTTCCAAAGGTAGAAAGCAATTGAAGGGATAGAGAAAAGACTCTAAACTGAAGAATTAGTAGAATTCTCCTGTGCCCAGTTCAAGGAAGCACAGAGCCCACCCAGAGTCATCAGAGAGGCCAAGAAGAGGCATCAGCTGCCCAGGCAGATTCACCACTGGCTAGGGATGAGGATGAACTTGTTAATGCATAGAATTAATTCCTCAGCACCCAAACCAGGGTAAGATTTGAGAATTTCAAAGAGCCTTAGATTTAAGATAGGCAACAATGGGGTAAAGAAGCTTTTGAAGTTCTCTGCCTTTGTAATGGTCACAATAATCTAACGGATGATTTAAATTACCTTGGCTATCTGAAGACTTTTTCCTCACATTCCTCCTGGGATACAATCCGAGTGAAAAATATCGTGGATTGCCATTAGATCTGAAAGGAAAAAATGTGCAATTCACCTTGCTCTGGTGCAGTGCTTAATACCTACTTGGGGGGGGGGGGGGGCTAGAATAAGTTGAGTTATATTAGAAGCTGTCTTGGTAAAATGTTGGGGGCTTAGTCCTCACACCTGAGGGATGGGAATAAGTCCTCACCCTTCTACTAGAGCTGTGGTTTAATCCCACCTCAAAGGCAGAGGGAGGGGCATGTTTAATTACACAAATTACATGGTACAGGGGCATATGTCCTGTTCCTCTTTGAACATCATGTGACTGAACCTCGACTAAGAGACTACATGGATTTGGAGGGACCTTGGCAAGGAGAAGAGTGCAGTCCTGACCACTCAGGGCGCTGGCCCAGCCTGCTTCTGTGCCTGTGTAGTTGGGGTGCAAAATGATTTGCAACGGTGCCACGCCCAGCAGGTGAGAGATCTGATGATTGTGCCCAGCAGCACATTCAGCCCTATTTGTCTTTCCCCAGATGTCAAAGAGTGACAACTTTGGGGAGAAGATGAAGGAGTTCATGCAGAAGTACGATAAGAACTCGGATGGGAAGATCGAGATGTCAGAGGTGAGTCCTACTGTCCAGGCTAATAGCTGTGTGGGAGGGACCATCGGGGGCCTTGGGCAAGCATCCTTCTAGACTTCCCAGGGAGGTGGTGGTCTGGGAGCCCCCACCCCACCTCCAGCACCGACCAAAGAGAACAGGTGAGACTTTTTCTGTGTCTCACAAGGAAAGAAACAACAAACACTGGTTTAAGACAGGGATGGAGACCTTAAATGCTCTCAAGGTCCCCAGAGCTATTGGAAATATGTGATGAGCCCAGCTAAAGAGAGAAAAGAGAGAGATGACTGGAGAACAAGAGAGTTCATGCCCCACCCAAAGGTATCCAAAGGCAAAATTTTTAATTAATTATTGAAACATAATTTGCATATATAGCATGTATAACATATGTTTATGTATACACACATACATTTATACATGCATAGATATATACATATTGTTAAAATATAAACTGAAGCATATTAAAAATTTAAAGAATGGGGCACCTGGATGGCTCAGTCGGTTAAGCGTGCAACTTTGGCTCAGGTCATGAATCTCATGGTTTGTGGGTTCAAGCCCCACGCTGGGCTCTGTGCTGATAGCTCAGAGCCTGGAGCCTGCTTTGGATTCTGTGTCTCCTCTCTCTGCTCCTCCCCTGCCCACACTCCGTCTCTCTCTCTCTCTTAAAAATAAACATTTAAAAATTTTTTTAATTTTTTTAATTAAAAAAAGAGTTTATTTGAGCAAAAATTGATTCGACTGAGGCAGAAATGGTTAGGAACACTCTACCAACAGTAGCTAGGGGAAATACTTTTATAGAGAAGTGGGAGCAAAGCAAGGAATTTATTTGATTGGCTATAGCTTAAGTGGTTGCACTATTTGGGAAAGCTGAGTCGGCTGTTTTGACTGCTTGTTTCAGCTTTGGATTGCTCACATAGGCCACTGAGGCATTAAAGCCACCTCTGTTTAATGGCTTCCTTGTTTAATTAAACAATTTATATGTATGCACCCACATGCACATACACATACAAATATGCATGTGTGTGTGCACCTAACCAAACACCTGTGGTAATCAGGTGGTGACTTGTGTTCTAGAGGTCATCAAGAATAATGATAGCAGCACATGAACCAGGGCATAGCTCCTCCCAGCGTGGACCATTTGGGAAGCTGCCTTAGGTCAGTGCCCAGGAAGTGGAGACTGAGACAGAGATTCAAGCACATGGGATGTATTGAGAGAGCTCTCTCAAAAGAAGGGAAGAGCACAGCAGAACAGGGCAGAGGAAGGAGCTTAGGAAGGATGTGGTCTCAGCTGGATCCTGGTCTTGGCCTGATCTCACAGGGAGCTCTGGAGTGTGGACTGTGCCACACAGTTGGTCTCACCTTGAGGCAAAGCATGGGGTGGCCCTCTGTACCCCCATTTCAGTTGGTCGTTGGTACAGGCAGCTCCCTTCTGGTTGGGGGGGGGGGTGTGGGGAGGGGCCAGCGGTGGTTTGGTAGAGGGCAGCTCTTCTGCCAGGAGTAGCTATGAGCCATTAGCAGTCATCCTTCACAACATGAGGGACGGCCCACCAGCCTAGCTTAAAGGGGATCTGAGAAACATACCAAGGGCACAGATTCCTAAAGCTGCAAGTCTCAGAACATCTGGACTCAAATGGGTTTAAACCAGGGGTCACCAGAGTTTTTTCTGTTAAGATCTAGCTTATGGTAGGGGCACCTGGGTGGCTTAGTTTGTTGAGCGTCCGACTTTCGCTTAGGTCATGATCTCGCGGTTCGTGGGTTTGAGCCCCGCATCGGGCTCTGTGCTGACTGCCAGCTCAGAGCCTGGAGCCTGTTTCAGTCTGTGACTCCCTCTCTCTGACCCTCCCCTGCTCATGCTGTCTCTCTCTCTCCTAGAAATAAATAAAACATTAAAAAAAAAAGTTAAAAAAAAGATCTAGATTATGGTAAATGTTTTAGGGTTTGTGGGCCATACAATCTCTGTTACAAGTGTTTCAACTCAGCCACTGTAGCACAAAAGCAGCCATAGACAATATGTAAATGCATGGGCGTGGCCATGTTCTAGTATAAGTTCATTTACAGAAACAAGAGTTGGGCCAGATTTGGCTCATGGGCCATTGTTTACAGACTCCTGGCTTAAACTATGAGAGGCTCCTAATGAGAAAATCCATGGGAAGGCTTGGCTCCAGATGAAGGAGTCCACGTCCCCAGCCCTGCTTCTCTGCAGTTTTTTTTTTTTTTAAACAACTAGCCTGTCTGCAGGTTTTACTTATTTTTTTAAAATATTTTAAGTTTATTTATTTTGAGAGAAAGAGAGAGAAAGTTGGGGAGGGGCAGCAAGAAGGAGAGACAGAATCTCAAGCAGGCTCTACACCAGCAGCACAGAGCCTGATGCAGGGCTTGAACTCACGAACTGTGAGATCATGACCTGAGATGATATCGTGTTGGATGCTTAACCAACTGCGCCACCCAGATGTCTCTCTGCCCCTCTTGACTCTGTTCTCTGCCTCCAAAACAGCTTCATCCTCAGGCTGGTAACAAGATGGCTGCAGCAGTTCGAGGCATCACATCCACAAACCATCACAAAGGATCCAGATCATTATGTCACTCATAGAGACAGGGAAACCTTCCCCAGAAGTACCCATAGCAGACCTCCCTCACATTTCATTGGCCAGAACCATCACACGCCAATCACTAGATACCCATAAGCCAACCATTGGCAAGAGAAACAAGAGCACATATAGCTGACTCAGCCCAATCAGAATTTGCCTGTGACCCGGGGCCAGAGTGAGGTAAGTGGGGGGCGGCCAGCAGTGTTTGCTGAACAAGGGTATCTGCGTTTTTAGTATAATTTACATACAATAAACTGCATCGATTTGAAGTGTAGAGTTCCATGAGTTTAGGCAGTTGTGTACAACCATGTAATTACCACCACGATCAAGATACAGCATTTCTATCACAGTCAAAATGTTCCTCCACCTGGTGCAGGTCATCCTATTCCAGGCAACCACTAAGCAAGGATTAGTTTGCATTTTTTAGAATTTTATATAGACGGAATGAATGAAAAGATAGTAAGTATTCTTTTCAGACTGGATACTTACATTGTAAAGTGGCACCACTTTACTATCCCTAAAGCTGCTCATCCTCTAAGATCTGGGGTGACCCAGATGCACTTCTCAGAACATCTTTCTTCCCTTTTGAAGGACTAACCTCAGGAAGAAAGCAAAATGCAGCTCCCACGCCGCCTTGCTACTGGCCATTTAACCATCCTCCCCACAAGAATGTCTCCCCACTCCCCACTCCCCCAGCAGAGCCCTCTGTAATGTCTCTGTTGTTCTCTGGCCCCCACAGCTGGCACAGATCCTGCCAACGGAGGAGAACTTCCTTCTGTGCTTCAGGCAGCACGTGGGTTCCAGCACCGAGTTTATGGAGGTGAGGCTAAGCTGCTGCCTTCCCCCTGCACGCCGGGGTCTGCCTTTCTCCCATGTTCAAAGCCAGGCCAACCAGATGCCAGGAAATGGTCCCTTGGGGGATAGGAAAGCCCTTAGATCTCCACTATTCACCAAGTAGGGTCCATGGACCAGCAGCATCAATAAGCATCACTACCCCCTGGGTGCTTGTGAGCAGTGCAGAGTCCCCGACCCACTGAATTAGAAACTACATTTTAACCAAATCCCCAAATGATACGTGCAAGTCAAAGTGTGGAGAATATGGAGAATTAAGTGTGGGTCAAGTACCTTTGGGAAATGCCATGTACACGCTTATCTCCCCTTCAGGAATTGGTCATTTTTCGGCTTCAAGATCTCACATACTTTGTTCTCAGTAACATTAGTGTCCCTTGAAGTCCCTCGAGCTTCCAAGGAGCATGCATGGGGAGCATGGACTTATGTGCCATCATAAAGCTGGGAAAACCCAAGGAGAATTCCAGCTTGCGGTATCTTCCAGTCCTGATTTTTTTTTACTGTAGTCTGTGCTTCACTACCCCCCTTTAAAATGTCTTTGCAACAGAAATTCTTTGAAATCTTCATGTGAAATAGAATATCCATACTCCTGTCTTTTGAGTAATAGTCAACCAATAGATTGAACCATGTGAAATTGTTGCTATTTGACCATTTTTGATTTACAAAAATTCAAAATTTCATATGGTTCAACCAGATGAATTACTAATCCTGATACCAGCAAACTATCAATATTTCTTGCTCTTTTTCTGGGACTCTGCACCCCTGGCCATTCAATGTATGTGTCCCTCACAGTGACACTCAACCCATACCCCACACACACTGCCTGCTATGGTAATGACTGGCCTTAAACTTGACTCAAGTTGCCATCCTCGTGTTAAATCCCTTTCCAGACACCGGTAATCCCTTCTCCGTGACTTACTGCCCAGAACCTCACATGGCATTGAGTTCCCCACATGGATAGAAAGTTGGTTAGAAATAACTGATTCTCAGGGCAGAAAAGTCATTTTGTAAGTGGCACCTTGCCTAAGCATCTGATATGAATTTCATTTTATGGTGTTTTAAAGGATTTTCTCAAGTTTTTTTTTTTTCAAGATGGCAAGATTCCATAAGCTAGTAATTGACATTCTGGATTTTGTTCTTAGTCCTTCTCTTGCCTATGAGAGGGAGGGTGAGGAGTCTGCATATACTTGTAAGAATGCTGCTTTTGTGGGTGTCCATTTTTCTGTCTGTAGGAAAGGGAGCATTATGCCTGATGGCTCCTTCTCTGATAGGGAGGCAGCCAAAGATTGGCCTCTATTCTACTTCTGATCTGGAAAATGGGGATGACGACAGCTTGCTTAAATGCTTACAGAGAAGCAAAAAATATCTTTCTGTCTCTGTGTGTCAAAACCATTAATGGCTTCTCTCTGTGTAGCTGACATGATTCCATATTCTTAACTGTCTTTATCCTTTAATCCACAGTATAACTGCTGAGCCAACACCCCTACCAAGTTTCCTGGGACCCCACCATCCCACAGTACCACCCCCCTGGCGTTGTTCATTTGCTCCATTTTTATCAGCTGGAAACATGAATTGGTCCCTCTGCTGCCCTGAAAGGCTTGTGCTGTCAGATAGCTCTGTCCCACTGCTAAGCACAACATTGTAATTTCTAATTTTAGTGACGCCTCAGGATTTCTTTGAGATTTTACAAAGCCCGGGTCTCTTGAACTCTTTTCCTTGAATGGGAAGGGAATGACCCACTGATGGACCAGCACAAAATGCTGGTGGGGAGAGGAGTGAGCAGAGAACATGGGGGTGGGGGTGGATCCAGAGAGGGAGGGAGGTCAGACCCAGTGGGATGATCTCTTCCAAAAAAGCGAAAAGCAAAGTGATGCTTTGTTCTGAGTGAGGACTGGGGTCCCTTCAGGTTACCCTCCTTTTAGGCAACTTGGGGGGAGTCTGCCTTTTTTTCCAGTCAAGACTCAGATGAACTAAATTCTAATGTACTAAGTACCTGCAGGTGGCTGGTATAGTCATATTTGTAAACCTGCACATATTTCTTAGTACTTTTCTAGGCATGAGTAAGAATATTTTGATGGTACCAAAGAATTTTTTTCTTCAGAGAAAAGACACTCCCCTATTAGATACCATCTATCCAAGTTGTCTCTGATATAAGTCTGCCCTTCTGTTGGGATTTGCTCGTGTCTCATAACTTTTTAAGAAATCAGGATGAAAAGAATTCTACCAAATTTCTTGAGCCACAACTATACCATGGGAATGACACAGACTTGTTTGCTGGTATGGAAGAAAGATCCCAGGATATTCATAAACTCACACTCCTGGCAATAAAAGGGAGAGATGACATGGAAAAGGGAAGGGAGGCAGGAGATCAAAATTTGGCAAAATAATTTAGTGATTGCTTCCTCTCAGAAAACCGAGTGTCACTGGTGGCCAGTGTGCAGTCTGGAGCTGAGGGAGAAATGAGGAAAAGTCAAGGCAAGAACTCTGGAAAGAAAATATAAGACATATGATCAGGCACCAACATAGATCAAAGATTTGGGGAAGTGGGGTTCTCTGGATTGAACAAGGAGAGGGATGGTTTCCTTAAAAACAGGAAAGGGAATGCTTTTTTATCACACAGATGGGGAGTGGCCTTGGGATACTCCAAACAAGCAGACTGTACGACCAGTTCTGCTCCCATGCAGACATGGCTGCCACGTGCACCATGATGGGAGTACAGGAAGTTCTGTTTCTGCCCCTTCCAGAAAGTTCTTACCCTTGTCCCCAGCCCCCACCCAAAGAATGAGAAGCTTCAAGAGCAATAAAAGGACATGCTGTATACCCACAGCAAAAATTGGATCCACCAGATCCTAGTGCTAGAAGTTGCTTGGTTAGCACCTTAGAAAACCATAACCCTATTCACAAAACAAAACAAAACATAACCCTAGTTACAAAATGATCCAAAGAGACCCAGGCTTGTAGCCAGATAGAGTAAGGAGACCTTGTCCGAGCAGTTTTTTTTTTTCCTTCTCTATGTGACCTTGGCCAAGACACTTTCCCCATTTCTTCATCTTTGACTTGGAAGGGACTGGGCTAGACCATCTCCATGTCCCCATCCTACTGTAATATTCTTGAACATCAAGACTGGTCCATGGAGCACATGTACCCCAATGTTCATAGCAGCACTCTCCACAATAGCTAAAACATGGAAAGAGACTAAGTGTCCATCAACGGACGAATGGATCAAAAAGATGTGGTTTATCTAAACCACGGAATACTACATGGCAATGAGAAACCATGAAATCTGGCCATGTGTAGCAATGTGGATGGACCTTGAGGGTGTTATGCTGAGTGAAATAAGTCAGGCAGAGAAGGACAAATATCATATGTTTGCACGTATAGGAGGATTAGGAGGAACTTTACGGAGGATCATGGGTGAGAAGAAGGGGGGAAATGGTGGGGGAAAGGGAGAGAGTCAAACCATGAGAGACTCTTGAATGCTGACAAAAACTGAGGACTGATAGATGTCGGGGGGAGGAGGGATGGGCATGGAGGAGGGCACTTGTGGGGATGAGCACTGGGTGTTATGTGGAAACTAATTTGACAATAAACTATTTGTAAAAAAAAAAAAAAGACTGGTCCATGGACCCAGCATGGTCCATTAAAAGGAACTGAAAGGAGGTTTATAGATGTTGACAGCTCTTTGCAATTGGGTTGGCATTCCCATTACAGGCTTGGCGGAAGTATGACACAGACAGAAGTGGCTACATTGAAGCTAATGAGCTCAAGGTAGGATGGGCCTTGGGGAGGGCATGGAAGGCATAGAGAAAGGGACTGAGACCACAGTGGTGGTAGGTGTAAGGAACCTGGGGAAGGAGTAGATGTTGGGTGAGGAACATGGGTTTGTGTTCTGCCTGGGAATACTTAAGCCTGGCTCTGAATTGATGGACATGGTCAGGACAGCCCTGTGAAATCAGTAACATGGAGCTGCGGGGCCATGGAGTTCAACCCGACTATACTCCTTTGCACGTCAGTGCCCAGGACAGGCACCTCCAGGGCAACCCTAGCAGACTGGCCTTCTGGCTTGTACATCTACCCTTACATTCCTGTGGAACTAGTGATCCCCAGGCACTGTTTAGACCTGTGTCTGAGACTCTCTGATGAGCCTATCTCATGAAGTGAAGTTGCATCCAGGAGCCACCTCCAGGCCTTCCTGGTCATTCCACAAGCATTAGGGATTAGGGAATTATGAAGGATGGAAACCATACAAATGGTAGACCTGAGAAAACAACGTTAACTAGCAAGTAATGAGGGAAGAACTGACTGCATGAGTCAGGAGCTCTGAAGAGATCTTTTGTATTCTAGGGATTTCTTTCTGACCTGCTGAAGAAAGCGAACCGGCCATATGATGAACCCAAGCTCCAAGAATACACCCAAACCATAGTGAGTGGTCAGACGTGTCCCTGGCCCCTCCAGAGGCACAGGACTGGGCCCCCAAGCCAGCGGGATTTGGGGTTTTCAGGCTGCCTCTTCAGGTCCAAGTGAAGGGACTCCAGTGCAACTGACAAAAGGGATGCTAGTTCGTGGCCCCACACACCCTCTCTCTGAGATCCTCACTGAGCCACTGTGAGACTGGGAGCCTTCGTTTCCATGACAACCTCCAAAACTAAGCTCCAGGAGAGGATGGGCTTGGGGAAGGTGGCCTTTGGTGCTGGCCTCCTGTGCTTCTGTGGCACTCGCCCCGAGAAGGGGAGGGAGGAGCAGTGACCAATTTAGACCATGCTGGTCCCTGACCTCCAGGTGACCTCAGAGGAGGCATAAGCACACCCCACTCATCCTCCTTCCTCCCTGGTAGAAGGGGATAGCAGGTCAAAGTCCCACATGAGAGGTCAAAGCAAATAACCCAGGCACCTCTGTCTATCCCGAACAGCTACGGATGTTTGACTTGAACGGGGATGGCAAATTGGGCCTCTCGGAGATGTCCCGGTAAGTGCCTGACCTCACCCCCATGGTCACTTTGACCAGTCAGCAGGGCGAGTGACCAAGCTAGATTGAGGATCAAGACCTCAGTGTGTCCACCTACCTCCTTGTAGAACTTGCCACCAATTCCTAAGTGCTCAGACACGGTTCCAGAACTATAGGCATTGCTTCCGCATCCCCCCACGTGCAAGTTGTTCTCACCTCTGCCCTGTGTCTTAAGCTCTGCTCTAACACTTTCTTCCAGACTGTTGCCTGTACAGGAAAACTTCCTGCTTAAATTTCAGGTAAAAGAGCCACTCTGTGTTTCTTCACTTCCTCCCTTCCCTCATCCCTGTTCGCTTCACTCTGCCACGCTCCTGTCCACCCCCACATGTGTGCATGCACACATACACGTGCACACTCAGACCCATGTGCTCACTCACTTGTACATGCACGCAAGCACACATACAGGTTCACACCTACACATGCACACAGGTGCTTATTCACTTGTGCTTACATGCATGCAAGCACACATACCCATGCACACTTAAACACATCCTTGCTCACTCGTGCACACATACCCATGCACATTCAGACACATGCACTTGCTCATTCATGCACACATATTCATGTGTGCACACACTCATACACGTGCACACTCACATGTGCTCGCTCATTCATGCACATATGCACACAAACACGCATGTGCATAGACACATGCGCTCGCTCACTCATGCACACACGCATGTGCACACAGACACATGCACACACAGACACATGCACTCACTTGTACACACATATATTCAGACACATGCACTCACTTGTACACACATATACATGCAGACACATGCACTCACTTGTGCGCACATGCGTGCACATACATATAAGTGCAAACACAGACACATGTATTCATTCACTCATGTACACATGCATGTGCACATACTCGTGCACACACACACATGAGCTAGCTCACTTGTGCACACATGCACATGAGCGCACTCATACACACGCAAAAGCAGACCCGTGCTCACTCATGCACATGTGCACCCATACACATGCACACACAGACACATGCATTCATTCATGCACGTGTACACACTCACGTGCACACAAACACATTCCTTCACTCGCATGCACACACTCTCCAGGGCTTTTGCTTCTGTCTTTAATACCTCGTGTCTTATAGGGCATGAAGCTGACCTCTGAGGAGTTCAATGCTATCTTCACATTTTACGACAAGGTAAGAGGGAGGACAGTGTGGGATGGAAAAGTAGGGGCCCCCGTCAGCAAGGGAGCTCCCTGCCAAAGGGCTCGGTCCTGTCCTTCAGAATCAGGAGGTGCTCAGTACTGCTCCCTGGGTGCCAGGTCATAATTGTGCACTGGAGCCAATTGTTTCGCTGGGTGGTTGGGAGTGAGAGGGCCTCCGGACCACCCACCAGCAATTCCTCTGCTGCCCCCACCCCTGTGACTCCAGTAGTCTTCCTCATAACTGAAGGGTGGGGGATAAACTAAATAGCCCCTGCATTCATCCTGACATCGCAAGGAGTTAGCTAAATCCTTCTTGAACCTCATTTATATTTTTTATGCAAATGAAAACACCAGAATTCAAATTTGCCCCAAAACATCCCGTTCCTGCCTTGACTGGTAAGTCAGCAAGTTAGGTGTTCTGGCACCACCTGGTGTGAAAACCTTGGGCACAGAGTAAAGGGAAGGCTAGACTCTGCAGGCTGCCGGGATGAGCTGGGGGAAGAGAGGTCAGGTCAGGGATGGCGGGGCCTGAGTTCTAGAGCTCTGTGCTGCCTCTGCTCCCCATCACCAGGACGGGAGCGGCTACATTGACGAGAACGAGCTGGACGCCCTGCTGAAGGACCTATATGAGAAAAACAAGAAGGTAAACAACTGAGCCTGGACAGCTGGGGTGGGGTAGGGGGAGTGGCTCTGGGGCACGAGAGAGGCTTCTGAGGGAGAGCGGGCAAGGAATGTGGGGTGCATTTTGCTCTTCTTTTTTTTTTTTTTAATTTATTTCTGAGAGAGAGACAGCATGAGCTTGGAAGGGTCAGAGAGAGAGGGAGACAGAATCTGAAACAGGCTCTGAGCTAGCTGTTAGCACAGAGCCTGATGCAGGGCTTGAACCCACGAACCATGAGATCATGGCTGAAGTCAGACACTCAACTGACTGATCCACCCAGGTGCCCCTCATTTTGCTCTTCTGATCACCCATAACTAGGCAATGCCAGTTTTGGAGTTGTTTTGTTTTTCTGGTTGGATGATTGGCTGATTGGTTTATGTTTCTTTTAATTGTAATAAAATAGACTTAACACAAAGCTTACCATATTAACTATTCAGCAGTGTTAAATAATCCACATTGTTGGGCAACCATCACTACCACATGCCCAGAGCCCTCTGCATCTTTTTTAAAACTTTTTTAAACATTTATTTATTTTTGAGAGACACAGTGTGAGTGGGGGAGGGGCAGGGAGAGAGGGAGACAGAATCTGAAACAGGCTCCAGGCTCTGAGCTGTCAGCACAGAGCCCGACGGAGGCTCAAACTCATGAGCCGTGAGATCATGACCTGAGCTAAAGTTGGCCGCTTAATCGACAGAGCCACCCAGGCGCCCCCAGAGCTCTCTGCATCTTTCAAAACTAAAACACTATCCCCATTAAACAACTGCTCTCGGCTCCTCCCTCCCCCTCACCAACACCCGCTGGCACTCACCAATCCACTTTGTCTCAAATTTGACTGCTCTTGGTGCCTCCTAGAAATGGACTCATGCGGTATTTGTCTATGACCGGCTTCCCTCAGCATAATGTCCTCCAGATTCACCCATGTTGGAATTTCCTTCCTTTTTAAGGCTGAGTAATATTCCATTGCACGGCGATACCATCTTTTGTTTTTCTGCTCATCTGTCAACAGCCACTTGGGTTGTTTCCACCTTTTGACAGTTTTGAATGATGCTATGATGGGTCACTGGCAGCTGACTGGCACAGCTCATGGAGTGTCAGCCAAATTGCCATCAAAAAAGTCTTTTTGCACAAGGAGAGATTTGAGAGCAAGGGGGCCAGTGGGAGGTGAAGATATTCCAAGTCAATTAGCTGCATAGTCTGGGGCTGAACAAGAGGCTGATAGGAGACACAGAACCATTTTTTGCCCTCAGAGAAAAGGCGGAGAACTAAACTTTGCTTCCAGGGACAGATGCCAGGTGGCCCTCCACAGACTCATCCCAGTGCCTGGGGAGCGGGAGGGGCCAGGGGTGGCAGGTGGACCAGGATCCGGCAGCTGTTTTTGTAGCTGTCTTCCTTCACCTCCTGGAAAATGCCTTTCTCTGAGCAAATAGTTTTGCTCTTTAATTAGATGATGAACACTCTATACTTGGGTCTAACTGCCTCAGCTGCCAGGCAAGAGCTAAATTTACTGCTCAATTTCAAGGGGAGAAAATCATCGCAGCCTCTGAGTCTGTCTCCCCTTCCAATTTGCTTTCTGACCTCTTCCTCTTTGTCCTGAATATCATTTCTTTCATCCTACATTTGTTTTTGTTATCTTCAAGTGGTTTTTGAAAGAGGCAGAAAATAAATTATCAGTAAGCAAATACTTCTTAGGAAGGAGGACATATTCACCAACTGTTTGAACTCAGCAGACTTTTTCCTGGCATCAAATTCTAGGAGAAAATGATTTATGCACCCTTAGGTGTCCAAGGAGTGTTGGGCATCCTAATGGAAAATATCTTTAACTGTATTAATGAGGCATTATTCTTCTCCATATGGCCCTGCTGTACACCTGAGGTTGATCAGCCTGGAGGCCAAGCGTTAAATCTTGGGAGTGATCCACTTAGGCTCTTTCTTAATTACCACAAATTACACCTCATATGGCTGCACAGGTTCACTTGAGGTGTGGAAACAGAAACAGAGTCAGGGTTTGGGTTTAGGAAGAACCCCTGAAGGTTAGAGAACAAAGATATTAATACAGTTGTTTACCTGGGAGCCTGCCATCTGTACGAAGCTCCAGACGTGGCCCCGGGGGCTGGAGAGGATGAGTCGGTAGAGAGAGCCCCAGGCCTGGAAGCCGCAGCACCTGAGCAGGGAAAGGAGCAGCCCTGCTTTGTGAACTCACCTGACAGACCCACATTCCCTTTTGACAGTGCAAGACTGCACTGTGGTTTCTGAGCAGATGCATGTTTGAGGCTCCTGGGGAGACCCAACCTCAGCATTTCTCACCACTCCTGAGACAACTGCCGCTCACTAAAGTGTTCCTCCGCTCCAAGCAGAACTTCTAGACCTAGAAACTGCGTAGCCCTGTCCCGTCATGCTGCTAAGATTTTTTTTTAATTTTTAATGTTTTTTATTTATTTCTGAGAGAGAGAGAGACAGCATGAGCAGGGGAGGGTCAGAGAGAGACGGAGACACAGAATCTGAAGCAGGCTCCAGGTTCTGAGCTGTCAGCACAGAGCCCGACTCAGGGCTCGAACCCACGAACTGTGAGATCATGACCTGAGCTGAAGTCGGACGCTTAACCGACTAAGCCACCCAAGGGCCCCTATGCTGCTAAGATTCTTGATGCCACAGTGAATCGACAGTGAGGTGGGCGGGTGGGGCAGATCTCAAGTTCCAGGTTGATATATGGGGTCCCTACCTTGGCTCCTAATTTGAATGGTAGATAGTATTATGAACTCAGTGATATTTCCAGGGACTTCAAAACTTCAGGGAAGATGCTTCCCAAAGCTAGATATGCTTGCAAAGTGCCCTTGGGGTGGCACAAAACCGGGAACTGACCACGTGAAGGGATGTCCTGAAACCACATGATAAAAGACCTTTGAGCACCAAAAAAAAGAGGTGACTGAGGACAGGTGAGCCAGGCAAATGATTAGAAAGACTTTGGGACTCAGGAGACTAAGGATATTTATGGCTGTAGAGTTGGTCCAGCCCTTTGGCAAATACCTTAATCTTTATACTAAGTCTTCTCATTAGTTGAATAGGGATAAAGACCATCAGCCTGAAAGGGGAGGTATAAAAAATAGATCTGCCAACATTTTCAAGATAAAAAAGGAGGCGGGGGAGGTGGATTAGGAGAGAGGGTACGTCTGAGCCAGAGAGAGGAAGAGAGAGAGAAAGACAGTATAAGCCATTGATGATCTTGCTATATTTCAGACCTATTGGTTGTGTTCAAATCAATTATTGTAAAGCATGTATTCAGCACAAGGCATATCAGGTGTTGATGTCCTATTTAATGCTGGCCTCCCATTTTACCTGAGACAATGGACATACGTCCATGGGTCACCTTAGTGGGCCTTGAAGGTCACAGAAGCTAGTGAACAAGAAGTAGGCAGGTGAGCTTTGCTGCTGGAGGAGACAGGAGTTAGAATTCCCTGTTTAAATGGGTGAGGTTTAGGAAAGGCCATGGGGCCTTGCAGACAAGACCGGGGCGCTTCCTCCGCATTCTCTTCCTCACATGCAGGGAACCAGATGGAGGGACTGGAGGCCCAGTGTGGTAGAGGACCTGATACAAACTATGCAGAAAAAATGGCTGCTGTCACAATAGCTACCAATTTGGGAGTGCATGCCGTGTGTCAGGTGCTGTGCTACGTGTTCACGTCCATTCCCTCCACTAACCATCCTAACACCTCAATGAGGCAGACACTGTAGTTCACGTACCCATCTTACAGATAAGGCAGCTGAGACTCAGAAAGGTTCAATACTCTCCCTCAAAGCAATGCAGGCAGTGAGTGAGAGGGTTTAACCAGAGCTTTCTGACTCCAAAGCCCATGCTTTGCTGGGACAGGATAAGAGAAAGTCTGTGGCCCAAGTGTTTGTGAATTACTAGGTGAGCCGTTCTGGGGGGCCATCCAGTGAGGGGCTCTTACTCATTCCCTCTGTCTCCTAGGAAATGAATATCCAACAGCTCACCAACTACAGAAAGAGCGTCATGTCCTTGGCTGAGGCGGGGAAGCTCTACCGCAAGGACCTGGAGATTGTCCTCTGCAGCGAGCCCCCCATGTAAAGGGGGTGGGGGGCAGGAGCTGCTTCTCCACCTCCCCCAAACCCTGCCCTGGCTGCCCTGTCACTTCTACCCGGACCCAGAGATCGTGAGCGCCCCTCCTCCGCCCCTGCAACCTGCACACACCAGCCTGCTGAGCAGGAAAGGGGAGCTGGAGGGAGGGTGGCTGACGGGCCCCCCTGGAGCCCCCTCCACCCTCCCCCTGCCTGACCCGGGAAACTGCTCCGCCTGCAGTTGGGCCCCAACAGAACGGAGGTGGGCGGGGCATGGGCGGAGCTTCCCTGCCCCTCACCGCTGCGATGCATGAGCTCCTCCCATGTACGATTTAGGCTTCTGTGTCTCTCTCGCAGTGGACCCTTCCTCCCGCTCTGCTCCCTTCCTTCCCATGCCACCACCCACCCAAACTCCCAAGTTCCACCCACACCTTGCTAATGGCATAGCTGTCTTCTCAGAGTCCCTGTTCGTGGAGGGTGCCGGCCCTTTGTCCTCTTGACTCAGCGTGCTCGTTTTCACTGTGGGTCCCTTGTCTCCTTGTTTACCAAAGAAGAGTTTACAGACAATAAAGTGGAAACGTTCTGCGTGGAAACTCACCTAGTTCTGGTCTAGTGGTTGACTTCTGTCTACAGTTAGCAGCTCTTACTGACAAAGAGGGAGCCAGTGCAGGGTAGAGCTAGGGGGTGGATCCCACAGATTGGATCCACATTCTTTCTAGTAGGGACGCCAAGTGGGTGTGGCAATAGTGGGACTAGGTAGTCTTCCCCAGGCAGGGGGCACCTCCAATCAGGAGTTCTGGACCACCACACATTTAACCTCTCCTCCTCAAAGTGTAATTTACCCCAGACTCACCAGATGCCTCACATGAATCTACAGAGCTGAGATCCTAGAATAGAGAACTAATTTTTTCAAATGCTGTCATTCACCGTCTACAGGATGCATTTGGGCATCATCTCATTTAATGCCACAGCAATCCTACGGGATGGATCACATTTTCAGAAGTAGAACCTGGGGCTGAGACATTAACTTGTTCAGGGTGATGTAATTCCTAGGAATTGCTGACTGAAGCACTATACCAGCAAGGTGGGAGCAGGGAGGGGCATACTGGGATCAGAAGAAGCCTCATTTCTCTCCCAGCCACACCCTGCCTGATACAGCCCAGGAGGTCACCTGACCTCCATCCACCTGCTCACAGCTAACTAGGCCAGTTAGAGTCTCCTGGGACCCGAGATGTACATTCAGGGCCATCAGACAGTGTGTGTGGCATTGAAGCTGGGTGGTGATCGAGCTTTGGGGGTGAGAGGTAGCAATTCCTAACCAAGCCAGAACTAATGCTGGAGAGAGCAGAACTCAGCGTCTAGGAGAGGGTGTCGGCCAGAGGGCAGGAGAACACGTGCAGAGAAAAACACAGGGAAGAAGAAGAGAATAAGAAACAGAGAAACAAAGACTGCAGGGCAGGTGGGCCGTCAGGCAGCTCCCATGAGGCCCTGCTACACTTGCGGATTCCGGTTTCCCTGCCCTCCCTACAGATCCTAAAGGGCACCTCCTGCCCACCAGGCACGTCCCCGTCCTCCCTGGCCCCTGGCCCCGCGTGCCCTGGATGCGGTCTCACAGCTGCTCCACCTGCATTTCCTCTCCGTGTGTCCCAGGCAAGACGGCACAGTTTGTGACCCACGAGCTTGTAGCTCTTAGATGGGGTTTGCTGGAGTCGCCTCTCCCAGGCCCACTTTCTGCTCATGTTCTCCAGGAGACCCTGCCTTCTTAACCGAGCCCAGTTAGTTCATTCTGAACACAGATACCTGACTATCAGGACACAGGGTTGGGGGGGAGGGGGCCGAGGCCATGACAGTGGGTGCCATCGTAAATGCAGTTCTGACTCTTCTGTGTTGGGAGCCTGGGCTAAATGAGCCCCAACAGGGAGTGAGGGGTGGCGTCACAATTCTCTCTACGGCTTCTCTCCAGTCAACACTGGGCCCGGTAGCTGCCTAACTGCCAGGTGCATCAGGAGCCAGCGTGCTCCCAACATGACCCCTCCCTCGGAGGAAGACCCTGGCCCAGCCCCACACCAGGTAAGGGGAATCTCCCATTCCAGACAGGGGCTTCCCAGGCCTGCATGAGGCTGATATATACAAAGATTTCAACCTTGAAGGCATTTGTCTCTGGGGCACATTCTGTCATCACCTTGAACGCATGGTGCATAAACCTGGCTGGCAGCAGTAACAAAGTAACTGTCACTGCCCCTGGGAATCCCTGCTTCCCAGTGTTCAGCTTGGGTGCCACACACGTGGGAATCTTGTATTTATTTGCTCCGTTGTCTTCATTCAATAACAAATATTTATTGAGTACTTCCACGGGAGCTTATCCTCTCAGGTGAAAGCCAATAAACATAAAATATCATGATGTAAAGTGGTGATAAGTGCTCTCAAGAAAAGTTCAACAAGGGAAAAGGACAGAAAGGGCAGAGGTGCTAGTATTATAAGTTCTCTGAAAAGGTGGTTTTCAAGCAGAGACTGAAGTGAGGAAGTGAAACTTGCTGCCATCTTAAGAGAGTCCAGACAGAGGAAAAGCCAAGTGCAAAGGCCCTGAGGTAGAAGAGTTTCTGGCATGCTCAGAAAGGAGTTCCCTGAGGCGAGAGCAGAATGAAGGTTGGGGGTGAACAGATGCGGTGGGGGAATAGGCGAGACCAGGTCAGGTGCTGTGTTGGGAGACCATGAAAAAGGAATTTGGATCTCATTGTGTGAAGGGAAGCCATCGGGGGCTACATCAGAGAAGTTACATAATGTATTTTAAAGGCCACTCTGGCTCCTCTCTGATGACTAAACTACAGGAAGCAAGAGGAAAAGCACCATTTAGGAGGAGGATGAGGTAATACAGCTGAGAAATGCTGATGACTCCGATGAATGAAGTGGCTGGGGGGGCGGGGGAGGGAGGGGATTAAATATCAATCCCTGACCTGCCTCTGAGACTAAAGCAAAGGGGCTTACTGAGGACTGGATAAGTACTATAGGTGAGAAACCATCAAGAATGACTCCGAGGCCGCTGGCTTGAGCAACTGGACACGTGGCAGATGCCAGGAACCCAGGTGGGAGAGGAGCAAGTTGGGGGAAGGGTGCAGAGGAATTAGGATTTAGGACACGCGGCCTGGTATTTAGTGTTTCTGGCGAGATCCCAACAGAAAACAGATGGCACGTTCACAGTGCTGGGTGTTCAACAACTCTGAGATGGATGCTGGATGCAGGAGACATAGTAGTGAATAGGACAGTCCCTGGCTGCCCTGCAGAGAGCTTAAAGATGCCTGGGCCTGAGAGGTGAGGAAGCTGCCCACTCAGCCTGGTAGATGTGGATCCAGGGAAGGCAACCAAAGAGGCCCCTAGCTTAGACTAGGGGGTTGGGGGGGTGGGGGATTCCCATGTGAGCATTCCTACCAGAAAAAGAACAAAAACAAAAAAGCATAAATGATGGTCCAAGGCAGCCAGGCTCATCTGGGGGAAGGAAGCACGGAGAGATGAAGCACAGAGGGCTTATTCACATTTATTTCACAAGTGAGAAATAAAGCTCTAGGGCCAGACAGGACCAGCTCCAGAGGGGCCCTGATGCCTCACTTCCCCAGACTCCACCCTTCCTCTTCTCCTTCTAGTCTCGCTCAAACGTCACCTCCTCAGAGAGGCCCACCCTGGTTAACCTGTAGCCCATCGCACCCCAGCACTCCATAGCTCCTCCCCGGCAGTATCTTTCCCCAGGGCACCATGAGCACCTGACCTGGTATGTGTTCGGCTGTTCCCACAGCCAGAGTGGGAGTGCCTGAGGGTGGCAAGCTCACCCTGCACCGGTCCTGCCCAGGTCTGCTCAACCCACACACCTACGGGCACCATTCCTTCCAGGTTCCTCACCTAGGACCCCTCAACTCCCCAGAGTTTTGCCCCCCACAATATGTCAGGATGTAGTTAATACATCTTACCTGGCAAAGGGGAATTAAGGAGGTAGAAGGAATTAGGGTTGCTAATCACCTGACTTTAGGGAGATTGCCCTCGTGGGCCCAAATTAATAAAAGGGTCCTCAGATGTGAAAGAGGGAGGCAGAAATCAGAGTGATGCAATGCGAGAAAGACTTAGCCAGCCATTGCTGGCTTTAAAGATAGAAGCAGGAGACATCTAAAAACTTGGAAAAGCAGGAAAACAGATTCTCCCTTGGAGCCTCCAGAAGCCCACGATACTTTGATTTTAGCCCATTTCAGACTTCTCACCTCCACAGCCATAAGATAATAAATGTGTGTAGTTTCAAGGCACCGAGTCCGCGGTAACTGGTTGCAGCAGTGATTACACAAGCAAAGACACAGTCCACCTCCTAATTAGTATTTGTGTTCCTGTCACATGATGAAATGTGGGCAAGAATGGATCTTCCTCACTGTACTTGTGAGGACTGGGTAATCCTAGTCGCACACACACCGTGCGCAGTGCCTGGAGCCATAATATCTCTACATGGCGGTTGTGGGGTCATATCTACTGTGGCTTAGGGTCCAAGTGCTCCAGGATTCACATATACTCAGTTGGTTCCAAATTTGGGAAGTCCCACTCACCTTTCAGAGAAGGTGCACTAGATGCACTGCCTCCTCCTTCAGAGATGTGAGTCCTCCGAACCTGGCCGGCTCCTCAAGGGGACAGCTCCGTCTGCCATGGCCGAGAAGCTGACCTGACACAGGCAGGCAAGATGCTGAGAAGTGCATATGAGTGGCAAACACACACACACACACACACACACACACACACACAAGACTGACCTCCAACCTCAAGACTGAGAGGCCACTTATGAGAGCAGCAATCCAGTTAAAAGGGACCTAGATGGATGCTCATGGGATAAAAGATCAAACTTTCAATAAATGTTCATAAACCATCAAAAAATAAAAGAGGGACATCATCAGCCATCAGGGAAATCCAAATGAAAACTGCTACTCAGCAGTGGAAACCGAGTGTCATTTTTAAATGCCTTATTTCCGTTTACAAAAGCAGAGTCTACTAAATTGTGGGGGTTACAGGGAGCCAAGGAAGAGAAAAGGCCTCCTCACAGAACCAGAAAATAGAGCAATAAAACATTACCAATCATTTAAGTAACCACAATAAAATCCCCTCATCATTTCATTCTTGCTCCCCTGGATCTTAGATTAGCAGTCTGCTTCTACCAAGCTGTCTTAGAGCTTCTGGAATGGAAAGAGTCCTGGAAATCCTGACTTGGTCCACCGGGACAGTCTTGAGAGTTGCTCAAGTGACATCAGCTCAGAAGCCTACACCCAAGGGTCTATTCTTTAAAGCCTGGAAGGTTCGGAGTACCTAGTACAGTCATTTATCACGAGGCTGTAAGATTGTCCTTTGTCACTGCAAACACAAACTGCAGCCTGCTGCTTAGAGCAGAGCCTTCAGGGCAGCATTAAACTAAACCATCTGTAAGGTGGCACAGACTGCTTACAGTTTAATTTCTTACTCTAACCAATATTTTCAGAACGGAGGAGAGTAGACGTCTCTATCTGGGTATAGTACAGAACTTGTTCCTAAGACTTTAGTCGGGTGCTTCCCCTGAGGGTAAAATCATATGGGCAGTGACA